ATCTGGTGCCACCTGGCAGTGAGGGCTTCACGATTATGAAACACTGTGAGGTGGAGCAAAAGAGGGCATATTGCATAAAAAATCCCAAAGTAGAGTAACGTGAAAGTGTGACTTTCCTCTCACACACCACTTCAAGGTGGCATTCCACAATTTCGGGGTTTGCATTATTTCTCTGGACTGTCAGTTGGCTCCCCATTTCTGCTGGAGTGTGTAAAGCCATTCAAGGGATGGGTGGATAGATAGATAGATAGATAGATAGATAGATAGATAGATAGATAGATGATAGATAGATAGATAGATAGATAGATAGATAGATAGATAGATAGATTTTCTACTATTTTATGTAAGGTTGGCCCTGTCACAAAGGGCGTTGCACATAGGTTACCTATAGTAATTGTTTTCACCTGTTACCACCTTGTCTGAGTTGACAACATTTTATGACAATGAGTATTCAGAATGCAAATGAATGAAAATGAACTGCAAGTGCCTAGCAAAATATGTAAACATGTGCATTCCCATTTTTATGCACTGGATCTGTTTGAAAGAAGATTCCACCTAAACATTAGGAAGAACTTCCTGACAGTAAGAGCTGTTCGACAGTGGAATTTGCTGCCAAGGAGTGTGGTGGAGTCTCCGTCTTTGGAGGTCTTTAAGCAGAGGCTTGACAACCATATGTCAGGAGTGCTCTGATGGTGTTTCCTGCTTGGCAGGGGGTTGGACTCGATGGCCCTTGTGGTCTCTTCCAACTCTATGATTCTATGATTCTAAGAATGTGTACAGTGGTACCTCAGGTTACAGACGCTTCAGGTTACAGACTCCGCTAACCCAGAAATAGTACCTCAGGTTAAGAACTTTGTTTCAGGATGAGAACAGAAATTGCGTAGCGGCGGCAGTGGGAGGCCCCATTAGCTAAAGTGGTACCTCAGGTTAAGAACAGTTTCAGGTTAAGAACGGACCTCCAGAACGAATTAAGTTCTTAACCCGAGGTACCACTGTATTCTTTTCAGGTATCTTTAAAAACATGACTGACCTGGTTTTCCCTTTGCAACGGTGCCAAGAGGCAAAATGTTTACATGTTGGATAGTGTCCATCCATTTTGTTGTCTTAATATTCCTGGGAAGAAAGAACTTGACTTAGTGTGGGACTTGATCATTACGATTTCTTGAACAGTAGCTTCTTAAACACACTTGAACATAATCCTAATGCACCGCTACCGTAAAGTCTCTCGAACACCAAAAATTGTAGTTCTCCCATTCCTTCATTCTAAAGAAACGCCACCCCTGCTAAACACACACAAAAACACACTCATTCTCTCTTTCCCCCTCTTTGCACACACACACTCTTCACAGAGTGAACAAGAAAATACCCCCACCCCCTTTGTTAAGGTCCTAAGTTTATGGTTTACTTTGTAACGTAGCTGGCTCTTGAAGGACACAGTTGCACAGAATTTTTGGAGCAGCTTCCTAATAGCTAATAGCTTCCTGTCTGTTCCTTAATTATTTAAGGTTTATTGAAGGTTTTCCACAAAAGTCCAGCAGATAAATCTGTACCAGTTGGACATAAAAAGTTTCTCTCTCTAGTTTAACTCTTCCACCAGCCCCCATTAATAGCAAAGGAGAGAAAGTCAAATTGAAACAAGAGAAATGAACTCTCCTTCACCTAAAAGATCTGCTATGGATATCTACTTTGCTTAACAATTTTGAGAAACTATGCAGTTGGACATCAGAGATGCTCATGTGAACCATAATTTGTTCACCAGAACTCATAATAATCTTAAAAAATGTTTGGGTGTAAATTATTGTTATTGTTAATATTAACAACACACACACACACACACACACACACACCCCAAGATTTGCTCAAGCAGAAAAAATATTTTAACATTATCAACACAACAAAACAGATTGTTTCATCATGTTTGATACTTCGGCTACTTTAGCAAAATTAGCATAGCTGCTATTATAAAACACTGGAATTAACTTTTAAAAGCGTAGTATGATTACTTTTAGCAAGGTTAGGTAAAATGCAAAGCATTCCTAGAACTCGCTGTAGTCTCTGGCATTTATCCCGGAATGGCAGGGTCAACCTCCATGTATTTTTTTATTTATTGGATGTAAACCAGAAACAAAGCAAAGTAACAGTAGCTATTAAAATGTGAGACTTTTTAGAAGGAGTTTTGCAAAATGGCTCATTCTCTAAGCATCACCATCCTTGTGATTCATTGAATATTTAAACTGGATCAAATAATTGATTGTCTTATGTGCCAACCCTTCATCTAAGAGCTTGCTTGTGCCCTCTGCGATTTTCTCCCTATCTCCTTTTGTATTCTTAAGACTCCTCTACGGTATCAGAAACTGCCTCCGAACCTCCCCCCCCCCCCGTTGCAAAATCAGCTTACTGCGCAGCTGGCAGGGCTGGCCTGCCCATGAGGTGGCAGGCTTCAGACAGCGGGCAGGTGTGGCAGATCTGCTTCCTGTACTTGTAAGCCACTTCCTCCTCTGCTGTGAGCCCCACCCACCCTGTTCTTGGGCAGCAATGGGCAAGCAGTGGCAGGCAGGCACGCGGGGGGGGGGCATTTTCTGCAAAATCTCCTGGGCGGCCCTACCTGCTGGTCTGAGAAAGGAACATCTTGAGCCTCCTTGGGAGACTGGAACTAACTATTGCACCCCAATCTTCTCTATCCCTTCCACTATTTTCTTTGCCATTGTTAAGTCAGGGATGCAATTCCGTTCTTTTATTTAAGTGAATTGTACAGTTCCCCAATATCAATAGCAGGTAGGGTTTTTTTATTATTTGCAAGAGGTTGTAATAAAAAATTTAGCAGCGCATTTTAACGAGCCCTTGTGGCTTCATATTAACAGTTACTCAGTGCAATAAAAAGAAGAAAACAGCAACGGGGAAAATGTTACTTTTTTCCCCTTGCCAAAAAACGTTACCCTGTCCAGCTAATAAAACAGAAACGTTTGCCTCCGCAGTAAATTTCAAATATATATTCTCTGTGGGTTTTTGGTCCTCCCGCATGCGGAAAAGGAAGGTACAACAAGCCTTTCACGCCTAGGAAGTGCCACAAGCAGAACTGGCAGGTGACCAACATGTTGCATATGTTAAGTGAACTCTTTGTATGTGGACTGGCAGTACGTTCTGGACAGAGAAGAGTGTGTCTAATAGAACTCCCTGGCTCAAGGTGTGTGATGGCTGGTAGTTTAGATTATGTTAGAATAGGATTAAGAAGATCTCTGCAGGTCAGACCAAAATTCTATCTAGTCCAGCATCCTCTTTCCACCAGCACCTAAGCTTATGCCTTCAAGATGCCCACAAGCTGAAGGCAATAGCCCACTCCTGTTATTGTTCCCTAGAAAATGGTACCCCAACTCATGTTGTTGTTGTTGATGATGATGATGTTGGCCTCTAAAAATGGAGAGACCATTTCCCCATCATGACTAATAGCTATTGATAGACCTATATTCTTCCCCATGTATTTATCACTAAATTGTCTTGCGTAGCATCTCAGCCCACAACCATCACCACATCACAATGAATTCCTCATTACACACATTCGTAACTGGCAGTCGATGGTTACAAGACAAGATCCCTAAATGGAACATCCGTGTTCAGAGCCAGCGTACCTCTGAATACTTGGCTGCTGGGAGCAAATAGTAATGGATGGCAATTACCTTTATTCACTTTTGTGGAATTGGGAATTCTGGGCCAGTTCTGTCTGGGTAGCCTTTTTTAAAGTTCTTCTGGAAGTGCGTGTTAGCAGAAGACTTCAGTAGGGCTTTTGCTGTGTTCAGTACTGGAAATGAAACAAGCTCCAGAGATGGTTCAGATGGTTGCTTTTCTGTAGGCTCAGTGGTTCAGCACCGTTTGAAAAGCTGTTACCATGCACCAATAAATTAGAGGTTTGTTGTTGGTTTAAATGTTTTAATTAAAATATTTATCACCTGCCTGAGTTCTTGAGATAGAAGCTGCAAGCCCAACACAAAGTTTATAGCGTGAAAAGTCATTCCTCCCCTCAATTCCTCATCGAATTTCTGAGCAACTTTAAATAGGATTAGGATGTCTTTGCACTGCAGTTTACTCTAGGACCTACCGCTAAAAAAGTGCTGTAGAATTAGCAGAGATATACAGTTCCATGAACTATGTAGCCACAGAGAAACCCTTCCCACCACCACGAAGAAATGTGAAATTTTGAATGCATGTGTGTACACACAACCAGTACAAACATTTATATATTTGATTGGCTATGGCTTTCTATACCAAATTTGGGAATATTAAGTCAGTCACATAGAAGAGATGGAATCAAGTAGATACTTATGCTGTTATGGACACCAGACATTTATGGAGTCACATTAAGAGTATATTAAGGGTGTTGCAAATTATTGGCTTTGTCTTTTTTATGTAGCCTCCTTGCCCATTTTTGGGGGGCAGAGAAATAACATAACCAGCCATGCCACAGTATATAAATTAGTACATAATCAAGAGTCACTCTTGCAGTTTTGAAGAGGCGACAAGAATGCATTTCCCCCCATAGACTCACATTTGAAAGAGTAGTTTCTGAATGGGAGTTCCCAGTGTACTGTTTTATGTTCAAGTCTGTTTGGCCCATCTGATCACTTGGTAGCAACTTGAAAATCCTTCCTTACCATTCATGGTGTTACCATGCTACAAGGAACCAGCATGTCAAAATCCATGTTCTACACTGAGACGGAGTTTATTAAGGGTCTGAAACTGGAGAAAGTTTTATCTGTTAATATTTCATTGAAAACTGTGATGAGTTAGGCTGATCAGGGGTATGGAGTGACTACCCTAAAAATCAGTTTGAAATCAGTGTGTTTGTACTTAACCCTGCTGTGTTACAAATATATTGCAGAGATGTAGCATACTGGGGGGGGGGGGGAGAGAGAAAAATCAAACACTGGAGTGCAAAGCTACCCACAGCTGACTGGTAATTTGACTTGATCATTGATTAACGTATCCTGTTTCTTGTTTTCTTCCAGGTCTGATGAAATTGAGATTATCATGACAGACCTTGAAAGAGCAAATCAGGTAAGGTTTTTTTTAAAGCCAGTATTGTTGGTTGGATTGTAAAGACAGCCTTGAAGTGTCATGCTTATCAACTGTAGCACTGCAACTCCCATCCGCCTCAGCCTGCATGACCAAGAGCTAGGGATGATGGGAATTGTAGTCCTACAACATCTGGAGAACCCCCATCCATTCCACTTTACTATTAAGTCTGATGCAGAGCCTAGCAAGCAGAGTTTCACTTGCCTTGCACACATTCTGGTGAACATTCTGTTGTCTTAGCCAAACCTATGACACAACACTAATATGAGGATGAAATGTGCCACCATGGTTTCCTTGGAGGAAAGGGAGAAATGTATTTGGCAGTTTGAGACTTCGCTTTTAATACAGTAACCCTTTTGCTACCAAATGGCACAAGTTCCTTAGAGGAGGGGCAGGATAAAAATATAATGTGGGATTTAATTTTGTGTGTGTTTTTGTTCTTAATAACTATTGTTTCATTGTTTGTATTGTATTTTAATTGTATCATCTGTTTTATGAGCTGGCTATGGGACATTTGTTATGGGGCACCTATATAACTACAGTTATGCTGGATGATCAATGTTTTCATTGACTAAAACAGGAATAGCCCTCCAAATCGTGTGCTACTTCTCATGTCATCCTGGCTGGGGCTGGTGCAGCTTGGAGTCCAAATATCTCTGGATCAGCGCATTCGCTTCCCCTGGATTAAACATCTTTCCCTAGCTTGCAAGCTTCACCCTGTCTGTGTGGGCAGGAGAGAGAAATAGCGATGGAGAAAAGAGGCTTGACAAAAAAACATTGTGCTTGTTTCAGGCAAAGCAGGCTGAGGATCTCTTAATTCAGCATTTACTCGTGAGAATTATTCCCATGAGGAATCTTGCAACACAGCCTGCTTTGGCTGGGAGTATAGAAGGCAATTGAATCAAAGGGTTCCATTTCCACTTGCATTCATCCAGCCTGGGAAATTCAGTGGGCCGCAGCATTTGTGTCAGCAGGGGATTCCTTGCTCCTAGCGTTAAATTGCTGTCATAATCGCTCAATTATTTCTTCCTTGTACTGTTTAAAATAAAAATCCATCACATTCTGAGGCTCTCCCTCCCCCATCGTTTATTAGGTTGAGTGTTTAGGAAAATCAATTATACTCAGTCGGGCATGAATTGATGAATGTTCGTGCAATAATTGCCAGTTGTTAAATCAAATGTACATTCTCTTCCCCCCCTACACCCTGTGGGCCCCCCTCCCCCAAAAATATTTTTTACAAAAAATATATATACAGTATATATATATATACCCTTTTCATTTCTTTCAGAGAGCAGAGGTAGCTCAAAGAGAAGCAGAATCCCTGAGGGAGCAGCTCTCATCCGCTAACAAATCTCTCCAGCTAGCTACCCAGATCCAGAAAGCACCCGATGTGGTAAGAGGCAGTATATGTACACTGGGCTTTGCCCTTTCCTGAAACACCTCCAGCTCAGCTTCTTGCACTTTGCTGCCAGGCGGAGCTGAGGTTTTCAGCTGACCGCCAGAATTGTGTTTCTTGGGAATCGCCTTTCCCTTGCGATGCCTTCAAGTACAGCTGCTTGTTGTGCCGGGTTTGGAGCAGGGACATTGATGGGAGGATGGGGGGCGCTTAGCAACCTTGCCGTTTTCGTAGGGGAGCTGTAAGGTAGGGGTTGCTTATTTGGAGCTTTGCTTTGTCTAGCCTGTAGATTGCAAAGCGAGAAATAAACCAGGGACTGTGCCTGAACCAGGGACTGAAGATCTTGAAGTTCTTTTAGTGCAGCGTCTATCAGAATTATTTGCATGGTCGCAACATGCTAGATGGTGTGCAAAAAAAGTGGCATGTTGCTTGTCTAGTCAGCTCTTCACTTCCAGTAGTTGTGAAAATTCACGCAAAAGCTGAGTCTGCATGGTTGTATTTATTTATTTTTGAAAAGTAAGTTCCTAGACCACGCCAATCTTAAACTTTGGGCAGATTCATACAGGTGAAGGTGGTTCTTAAGGTATCTTGGTCCCAGGATGTTTGGAGCTTTAAACGTTATTGCCAGCTCTTAAATCAAGCCCCGAAACAAATAGATAGCCGACAGAAATGGAAATATATTTCATTTTCCCAAGTTCTGGTCAATGATTTTAGATCAGTAGAAGTTTTCAAACTTGCTTCAAGGGCAGCCCCATGTAGAGAACATTACAGTAATCTGATCTATTAAGTTGGAAATATTTTTGTCACCCCTTTCAACAGACATGTTTTCATACCTTTCAGAAGCAACCAAAGTTAAATGAGGGGGATAGACTTTTCTGAGTTGCCTGTCTCTGATACCTGCCCTTTAATCTCTTGCTTCTGCCATCATTTCTGGATGAACTACCGGTGTTTTTAGGCCTGCTGTTTTGCCAGGGTGTGATTTCTATCTATCGCTCTACCCCTTTCTCACTTCACCCCCCCCCCCAATGTCTTTTAGGAGCAGGCCATCGAGGTGCTGACAAGATCCAGCTTGGAAGTAGAACTGGCTGCAAAAGAGCGTGAAATCGCTCAGCTGGTAGAAGATGTGCAGAGACTCCAAGGCAGCCTCACCAAGCTCCGGGAAAACTCCACCAGCCAGATCTCTCAGCTTGAGCAGCAGCTGACCGCCAAGAACAGCACACTCAAAGTAAGGTCCTCCAGGGCTCTCTGCTCCATCTTTCTTTTGGGATAAGACCAGAGGCACAGACAAGTTGCATCAGAGCCTAAGAGCCCTGGTGGATCAGCCCAAAGGCCTATCTAATCCGACCTCCTATTTACCAAGGTGGCCAATCAGATGCCTGTGGGAAGACAGTAGCCCTCTCCCACTTCTGGTACACAGAGACATGGCACTTCTGATCCTATAGGTAGTATGTGGGCATCATGACTAGTGGTCAATGTATGCCTGTGGTGCTGTTGTAAGGGGCATTCTTGTTTCCAGGTGCAGTGTTACCAAGCTCCTTCCGGCCCTGCAATGTGTTTGTTTTTAACTTTTAACATCCTCCAACACAAATGACAATTTCTCAGTGGACTTGCCACAGTGATTCCTACTTACTCATGTTCAAAATTCAGATCCATTCTGTTGTAAATCTGGCTGAAGCAAGAGAAAACAACATTTGGCATAAGAAGGAGCAAGCCTTTGTTTCTATTACGTTTATATTCCGCCTCTCCTCCAGTGAGCTCAAGGCAGCACACACAGTTCTTGGTTCTCCCCATTATATCCTCACAACAACCCCATTGACATAGGATAGGTTGAGAGATAACGAGTGGTCAAAGTCACCCAGGAGGCTTCATGGCTTAGTAGGGATTTGAATCTTGATGTCCCCCAGTCCTTGTCCACAAATGTTAAGCACTTCACCGCACCAGTTCATATGGATTCCATTCTCTCCCCTGTCCAGGAATTTGGGTGCTGCCCACAGGTTCGAATTCTGAGCATCACTGCTTTGCTCAGCAAACAAGTGTTGCCAGGTCTCAGGGTGCTCACTCTGGCCTCCTCGTCTCACCATCGCTGATCAGGAAGCAAATCAAAAGTTATGGGTGGTGGTGTGCATTACGAAGCCCGTCTTTATGATTTGAAACTGGCCTGTTATGATAATTGTGGTTGTTGCTTCTGAAAATGTCTGCAAACGCAACACATGCTGCACCCCTGAGCTGTGGGTCCTGCCAGAGAGAACTGCCTTACAATGAATCAAACCACTGAACTTTCTCACCCAGTGTTGTCAACCCCATCTGGTAGTGGCAATGGATGGCAGGGGAGGAAGGGAGAGACTGAGCCTTTCCTGTCTCTGTATCTTTGGTTGTGCACTGTTAACGTGGCTGTCCTGGTTCAGTAGCAAGATTCAAAACTGGTACATTTATCTTGGGGGAAGGGGTTAAGAAGAAAGGGATGCAGCTTTCTGTTTTGAATGCAGGCCATCTGAAAATATTATGTAATCATTTAATAAAGGCCTTAAGGGTAGGACCTGGAAGAGGAACCGTTTTTGCTTCTTGGCTGCTTTTTCTTCTTCATTCTTTGTACCCAGTGAGTAGGTTAATAAACTTAGATTGGCTTCTTGATAAGATGCCTTTTCCTGAGCTACTGCATGGGAGTCTCCCCCCCACCAACTCCACTCCTGTTAGTGCATCATTTTGCAAGCTCCCAGAGGGTGTATTTTTAGACCTTGCGTGACATTAGAAACATGCCTTTTATTTTGTCTGAAAACGAACCAAGTCGATAGTTGGAGCCAGATATTAGTTCCTCCAGATTGTCTCACAGCTTGAACCTTTTGTTCTGCTTTGCATTTTGCTGGGTTCTTCCAGACAATTGCTATGCTAATTTCTTCCCACAACTGTTGCAGTGAGATGGGGGGCACTTGGTGCCTAAATGGCCTGATCGCATCAGACTGTAGGTATCTCCTCTTTCTGCCTTGGTGGGCATCGTGTTAGCTGGATCAAGAGGAAGGTCATTCCTCTGATAGGGATAACACATCCCACAGCTGATGACAGGCAGGGTCCCAAACAGTTTTCTGCCTCCTCTCCAGAGAATGGGGCCATCCCACCCACCAATCTGATCCTGTCTGTCGTTTTTGTTGGGTCTGACTTGTCAGGTTGAAGAATTTTAATCTAATCAAAATAATGCTGCACTTTTTCTTTTAAGCAACTGGAAGAAAAATTGAAGGTGCAAGCTGACTATGATGAGGTTAAGAAAGAATTGAAGTAAGTATTTTTTTATATATAGTTGAAATCAGCAACACTTTTTTTTCTGGGTGGAAAAAATACAATGATTTCAAACTAAGAACCAACTCGCTAAAACCAAGAGTAGAATACATCTGATGCATGTTGGTTGTGGACACGTTTGTGGCTTCAAACATGTGGCTTCGCCCAAAAAATCTAGGCGCTGTGAGCACCCTGAACTTTGTCCAAGGTCTTTAATTCCTTTGTGGATTAATGGTTTTCATAAGAGAAGTCCTATTGAATCAGACCAAAGATCTAGTTCAGAAGTAGGCAACCTAATCGCCTTCTTAATCCGGCCCATGGACAGTCCGGGAATCAGTGTGTTTTTACATGAGTAGAATGTGTGCTTTTATTTAAAATGCATCTCTGGGTTATTTGTGGGGCACAGGAATTCGTTCATTTCCCCCCCCCCAAAAAAAATATAGCTCGGCCCCCCACATGGTCTGAGGGACGGTGGCTGAAAAAGGTTGCTGACCCCTGATTTAGTTAGTTCAGCATCCTGTTTACTGCAATTCATGCGCAGAAATTTAAATAAATGCAGCTTTCCCCACACCTTTATCTATCTACCAGGAAATCATTTACCTCCTCAAAAGCTTGTAAGTCAAGAAGCTTAGTGAGCATCCTTGATGCTTATCCACCAACCCAAGAACATGTCCCAAGGCTAGGGATGAACAGATCAGTCTCTTTCCAGTCCAGTCCACTGTCCCATTTCCTCATCATTCTGTGATTGTTTTTTAAAGGCCTACAGAAATTCACATTTTAAAAGTATTTTTGCTCACAAAATATGCATATTACTGTCTTTTTTGAAATGACTCTGGAGCACTTAAAGTGCCAAAACCAAAGAACAACTACCTTCCAATTGCGTGTTAGTTTGGGAAGTTTGCTTAAGCACTGCAGAGACTACCACGTGTCCCAGAGGCGTGTCTAGTTTGTAGTGGAAACCGGGCTTCTGGTGTTACTGCTCCAGCCCTCTGGAATTAGTAGCCAGCTGAAATTAGGCAGGTGCCCAGTACCTTCTGAAGGCATTTTTGTGTAAGAACTCTTTCCCTGGGGTCTGACCCATTCATTTACAGATTGTTATTTATAGCTGTAGAAATTGTTTTGTTGTTTTTAGGGTTTGTAGGAATGCTTTTATTGTTTGTCGGACTTGTATTTTATCTCATTTTTACCTTCTTGTACAACGTTTCAAAGGCTTCGGGCAGTGAATCAGTTCATAAATTTGTAAAATAATAATAATAATAAATATTCAAACTAAATGGAGAGTTTTTTCTGCAGTGGGCAGTTTTGAAAACCATTGGCCTAACTGCACAGTTTTGACTTTCCCAGCAGCCTTGACAGGCCAGCACACCAGGCTGGCCAGCTGAATGGTTTGCTTTTGTTGAGTCACGTATTGAGGAGTTGGAGAGTAAAATACAAAGGGAATGTCTTAGTAATTTCCAGGTGCTTCATAGAGCTTAAGAAATACCAAGCAATTCTTGGGTTCTATCACTGTGGAGTGCTTGATTATTAAAATGCAAAACAGAGTCTCCGCTGTGTTGGGTCATGCAAATAATTTGTGCTCGTTTTCCTTGATATGTGAGCTGATAAATTTTGCATGTTTTCATTTTTCGCATTTCATGGGCATTATTATGACCATGATGACGATTCCCTGTTTTTGCTGCTTTGTTATAAGCCTCCCCCCATTTCCCTTCAAGCGTCACACACCCATTTATATTGTTTCTGACAGTTTAAAATGTTATATCCTTATTAACCTTTAAATTTATGCTTGAAACGGGCCTGGTGGGACTGTGTTGTGCAGTGATTTAGAGGGCATTTGAGAAAATGTTCTTCTCTGATAACTAGTGTGAATAGTTATTCTATATTCATTATCAGATTATATTACTCCCAAGAAAAGTTGTTAAAGTTATCACTTAGGGTGTTCCTGGAGAGCTGAAAATTACAATGTTAATGCTTATTAGAGGAGCTGTTATGAAAGAAGAGAAAATAACTCTTTATTCTACCACTTTGCAGCATCTTGAAGTCCATGGAGTTTGCACCCTCTGATGGCTCCAGCACACAGGTAACAGGACTGCTTTTGGATTTCTGGGCAAGTAGAGCTGAGGGTGGGGAGGTCACTTCTGAATGCCAGCTTGGATTGAGAAATGTTGTGTCTGACACACTAAGAGTCCATGAGGCTTTTTGGGTAAAGAACTTTGACATGGAAGACCTGGGTTCAAACCTTGCTCAGCCAGGGAATCAACTGTGTGTGATCTTGAGCATGCCTGCCAGTTTGCATTTCCAGCACTTAAACCCTCTACCTCGCAAGTTGATGGTGAGGAAAAATGAAATAACAGAATGAGCTAAAGAGAGCCAGCATTTCAAGTGTGTGACACCAGCTCTTTTGTCTTTCAGAGGACAAGTTATACCTTTTTATCTTAGACCAGGGGTTTTAATGAGTGGTTCATGGCTGCTGTTCTCGTTTCACTTGTTCTTTTAACTGCCTGCTCTGTTTTTTTTATCTGATGTGCTTGTTGTGGTGGCTGCTTTAATTCTTCCATTGCTTGCTTTTTAAACTTATTTCTATTGTAAACCACTTTTGATGTGATGATAGAGGTGATGAGCTGCTGCCTTATGAAGGAATTGTAGTAATTCCTGAGCAAAAGGTCTGTGGGTATTGCTATATTTTAAAGTGAGCTGCAGATAGTGACCGATGATGAAGATGTTCAATAATACAAACATTTAATAGTTCAGAAGGGAGAAAATGAACAGATATGATTTTATTCAGGGTGGAAAATGGGGGCCATGACATAGAGTTGAAAAATCTGGAAGCGAAGTGTCAATATTTAGTCAACAAAATCTACCAGGGCTGCAAGATGCACACACGCAATTCTCTTCTGTCTCCACAAGTGTGTGAAAATGCAGCTATCATATCCACTATGTGGGGATATAAACCCAGATCTCCCTGGTCTATGGCCAACACATTCCTCACTACACCATACTGATCCTTGAAGTGCCTATTGAAGTGGTAACTCAAATCCTAAATTTGCCAGATCCAAATGGAATGCATACATTGCTCCTATGTGATATTGAAGCCTTTTCTTCCCTTCCCAGAAGAAGGAAGGAGAGCTGTCTGAGTAGGAGTGGGTAGCCCAGTCTCGCTCTAAATTATTTGCTGTTGAGTTTTTCCCCCAGCAATTTTGGCTAAATCCCATGGAGGTTCCACAATGGCTGCTTGAGGAGCTGCCTTCTCAAGTCCAAGCCTCTCCATCACTGGCTGTGGGGGCTAAGCAGCCTTTTCCTGTGGCTTCTGACAAGCCTTTCACTGCCTCTTTCCCATATGCCCTTGATGCAGTTTGGAAGGCTAAATAGGCCCACCCTAATTAACCCAGAAATGTTCCCACATTGGCACAAAAGCCTTATGCCCTTGCAAAACCCATTATGGGTCAACTGCATTTACCTGCAGTGGATCCACTTGCAGCTCCCAGGAGCTGATGACTGACCACCGTTTTTTGGGGGGGGGGATTACTGTGGCCCTGCCAGCGAGAAAAACAAAGCCAGACAAACCATCAAATCCACTCAAAATGGTGCTCCTGCTTGATCACGGTTTTTTGCAGGATGCGCCGAAGCTCCACAAAAATACCCTCCCACACAGGAAGAGGGGACCCCAAATCCACTGGCCCTCCTCCAATGCCAACCCCAAATGCCCCAAAAGGGAACCACACTGGGAATCACAGAAGGAGGGGGGTGCAGTGGGCAGGGGAAAGACCAAACATGTGCCCACAGCTCAGCTAATAAGCTACGGAACAAGAGAGGAGACAAAGAACAAGCCAATGTCACACAGCAGGAGCACAAGGAATGGGGGGGGGACAGAATAGGCATAAAGGAAGCAAGCCTGAGAGCTCAGCTTTCGCTGACCACAGGCGTGGTTGGTTTGGATCCTTCCCCCTGGACGTGAGACATTGGCCTGGCAGGGGCCCCGCCTGAACCTCCAGTTAGGATGTTTTCCATCTGGATCTTCAAAGAGAAATTCACAAGACAATTTCCCCGTTTTCAGACCTCCTTCAAATGCACAATTGAACTACATTGAACAAAGAAACCTTTGGGGGGTGGGGGTGGGAGGGAAGCATCCAAAGCCTGTGGTGTCGTCACATATTAATCTTGTAGGATCAAAGGTTACAAATTGGATTCTGGCATCTTTAGTGCAAAGTTGAAGCCGCTTCCCTGTGTGCCAGGCGTTTTATTATTTCCAGTGGGTTTCGATGATTGAGAGTCGCGTGTGGGGAAAGGGGAAGGGTCGGTGTTTGTGACTGATTTAATTTGTCCATTTTCTCCATAGCGCCGAGACGCAGTGTTTCAGGGAAGATACGCCGCGATAGTGCTGCGTCTGAAGGCAAACAGGTGTAAAAAAAGAAAGGAAAATGATTAATGGAGCACTTAAAAATACATCTCTGGAGCTGATAAGCAGCCTGCACCAGAACACCAAGCAGTTTCGCGGCCATAGACTAGGGAGTCGTAGCAGATGTGCCAAAATGCAGATGACAAATTCTAGGTTGCTGGCCGAGCCCCATCAGCGCCCTCGTGAACTCCACCCTGAGGTGCAATTCTCAGGCTCTTTGGCGCCTAACCCTTCTTCCGTCTCTCCATAGGATGCTGCATCCAAACCGCTGGAAGTCCTGCTGCTGGAAAAGAACCGCCTGCTACAATCGGAGAACGCCACGCTCCGTATCACAAACAGTGACCTGAGCGGTAAGTGGATTGGCGGGGGCGGAGGGGGGGGGGAAACAAACGTGTTTCTCAGGCTGCAAGTCTTTGTTTGCTGATTCGAGGGTGAGGATGGGGAAGAGGGCCTGAGCCCAAGCCTTGTGCTGCATGACAGAAAGAGTAATGGAGAGCAAGAACTTTGAATCGTGTTTCATCTCCCCGCCGCTGCCTCCCTGCACCCTTTATACTGTAGATAATAGAATAAGACTTCGAGACCTCGGAGACGGTCCAAAGGGTTAGGAAGGAGAAATGTTTCCGAATGTTATGTGAGGAGCAGCGTCAGAGTCTGTCTTCCATTTCGGTCGCAAACCTGACATTGGTGCTAATTTCCCCCACCCTTCCCCAAACGTAAATTAAAGTGGATTCCAAAAGTGAGCCTGTCTCATATACTTAGCTGGCATGTCAGTTTGAATCCCTGTTCTTTTATTTCCAGAGGTGATGCATTTCCTTTTCTTGTTTGCTTTTCTCAGAGGCAGGGGATGTTGCACATGCCTAAATATATATATATATGGGTAGATTTGTGGAATTTCCAGGTGCTTCTTTAGTTTGGGTTTTCGCAGCTGGTGACAACTGTATAAATTGGGCACCCAGGTGGTTGTTTCATTCTCCCAGTAGCGTCTCAACTATACTTTGGCATTATTCGAGCAATGATTTCTCTAATCTGAGTTTCATCTGGCATTTATAAATGTTTGCTGCATTTGGTTCAACCAAGGTCTGTTTTGGGGACAAGACAACTTGAATGGGAGAGGGGATACTAAAGGGAATATATTTTTTTCCTGTGTCAATGAAATTACTACTATTTTTAAAAAAAATGTATAACTGCACTTCATGTCATTGTTCAAATGTTAATGTGTGAAAGGGGGATTCTCCAGGCTGCAACATACAAGAAAGGTGCAAACATGAAATGCATGTTGTTTGTCTTGGGGGCCTTGTTTGGCTTATTAAAATTTAAAGAAACAAAAAACAAAAAAAACAAAAACCCAAACCACCTTCTTCATTGGCCCTTATTTAAAAAAAAAAATTAAAAAGCAAAACACAACCTGCACTTTTTTCCCTTTTGTGGGGCAAACTCTGCATTTTGGTCTTGGTTTTTCCCCCCTCCTTTTTGATCCCCCATAATGCATTATGTTTGACCTTCCTTGTAGGGTCAGCCAGGAGAAAAGGGAAAGACCAGCCTGAGAGTCAGCGTCCTGCAACCTTGCCGGCCTCCCCTCCTCCTCAGTTGCCCCGCAATGCAGGGGAGCAGGCTTCCAATACTAATGGTACACATCAGTTCTCACCAACGGGTTTAAGTCAAGACTTTTTCAGCTCATCCTTGGCAAGCTCCGGCTTACCCCTGGCTTCTACAGGAAAATTTGCACTAAACTCTCTCCTCCAGCGCCAGCTTATGCAGTCCTTCTACTCCAAGGCAATGCAGGAAGCAGGAAGCACAAGCATGATTTTTTCAGCAGGTCCCTACAGCACAAACTCCATATCTTCCCAAAGCCCCTTGCAACAAAGCCCGGATGTCAACGGCATGGCCCCGTCCCCCAGCCAGTCCGAAAGCACTGGCAGCGCCTCGGAAGGCGAGGAGATTGACACGGCCGAAATTGCACGTCAGGTCAAAGAGCAGTTGATCAAGCACAATATTGGACAGCGGATCTTTGGACACTATGTCCTGGGGCTCTCGCAAGGCTCCGTCAGCGAGATCCTGGCTCGGCCCAAGCCTTGGAACAAGCTCACGGTGAGAGGCAAGGAACCATTCCACAAGATGAAGCAGTTCCTGTCGGACGAGCAGAACATCTTGGCGTTGCGCAGCATCCAGGGAAGGCAAAGAGGTGAGTGAGGCATTAGCCACCGGCTTTCCTTTCCATGTCTGTTCTTGGTAGATGGGAGGCCCTGTCAACAGGACTTCCTTCATCTGGTGGTTGAAGAGGTCCATTTGGCTTTCACCTCTTAAGCCAATTATTCTTTGAATGGACCGTGTCAGAGAGAAGTGGCAGAGTGGAAGTTGGGACAGTACGATCCAGTGGTTATGTTTGCCTGTGCTGGCCCCATACAATATAAGGTTCCCATTGCCATCTGTTTCCATGGGCCAATGCAGGAGAGCATCCCCATGAATTGTGCCCTGTGTTTATTAGTGTGTGGGATGGTTCATTTTGATGTTTTAACTCAGGTGCCCAAATCTCTTGGGCCCGCTCTGATTCATTGGGTATCCATGAAACAGGTTTTTGTTTCTTTAAGTATCTTAAGTGTGCAGAACTTGGAAAACGTGGTGTTCCCGGCGTCTTTTGCTGTACCATCCTTGAGTGTGTATCTATCAAAGTAGTTCATTTTCATTGTAGTGATTCGATGACTCTGCACTCATTCGGTAAAACTTGAATGAATGCAAGTGAGAAGTTTTGCTGCTTTCAAAACTCTGAATTCTCAGCAGAATTTATGGTCAAGGGAAATCTGGTCCAGCCCTCTCTGCAGGTTCCCCAAGTCAGACCCACAAGTATCCACCCCACTCTCAATACAGGCCTAATTGTGCCACAGTAAACTCTTGCCCTCTGCTTCTGGACCAAGCAGATTCATAGAATGTAAAATAATCAGAAACGTGTAACATATTATAAGATGCCAAAGCGCAAAGCAAAACTGTTGGGGATGGGGAGAGGATGGCTATTGATCTTCATTAACAGAAGGGTTGATGCAAAACTCTTAAGGAGCCCAAACAATACTGAGACAGTTATTGTCATCCTGTCTCCCTCCGCTACCAGGTTCTCTGTAAAATCCACTGAAATAACAAACCTTTGCTAAATGTTGTCTTTGTGCAGCTTCTCTGCAAATGGTTGCATTTGTTGAGAGAGAGCTGCCACTATTTCATGTTTCTCTCGCTCACCCTCACCCCCTTCTTTTCCTGGTAATGGCTCCCGTACTAACAGTATAGGACACAAGGTGATGACATTGGGCTGAGCATTTCCCCACCCCTCCCATCTCTGGCTGTCAACAGGAGGCGTGGGGGAAATGTACCGCGTGACATCATCACTATGTGGAGAGGGGCCAGATCCTATGGTAGACCACAGGCTGCGCATGCATGAGGTCCCAGGTTCAAAATGCACCTAGCTAGAAAGACTGAGCCACTGGGCAGTCGCTGCCCACCAAAGTAGAACTAGATGGGGCAATTGCCTGGCTCCCTAAAAGGAATTGATAAGGCGTCAGATTTTTCAGCTAAAGGGATCTTTGGTGGCAGGGCTGGGAAAGACCGCAGAAAGCTAATTGTGGGGTTGGTGGGGGGGGGACGTTTTCTCCAACCTTTTCAGGCTTGTGGTTGTCAGCCCAAATCAGGGCTATTTAAGGGGGGAGGGCTAAGGCTTGTCAGAGGGAAAGGCCCAGGTAGTATGTGTGAGAAATCAAACAAATTATTTAAAAATCACAAACTCTGTTCCAGTGAAAGATTAAATCTTCAAACATAAATTCATGACGCTCTTTTCTTCAAATGAACACATTTATTTCCTGGCTTTAGCTGCAACCAAGTCATGAATTATATCATTCCTCCAAGGCGGGTCAAGGGGGTGCACATACATGGGTTTTCCTCTCCCCCCCCCCATCCAAAAAAAGAGAGGAAACGACCACTTCTCTGAAAGAAAGAGAAGGCTAAGAAAGAATGACTGGCCCAAGGCCCCCCCCCCCCGTGAGCTCAACTGGGAAATTGGGGGGCTAAAAAAAGATAAGTGCCTAAAGCTATGCACTTGTTTATTTGATTTGATTTGATTTATAAGCCCTCCCTCGATTCTGAGTGATCCCAGAGTGGGTTACGGCATAAAACGAACATAAAGCAAATCACACTATCCAGGTCAGACACACCAATTACTATAAAAACAGTTTTAAAAGTCAAGTGCAAATTGCAAACTCAGACATAATAATATAACAGACAGCAAACTCGGACAGCGAATAGTGCTGTTCCTCAAACTTCCCAAAAAGCTTGGGCAAAGAAGTGATGATGTGGCTCCACCATGACAAAGACCCTTTCCTGCTTCACTGTATCACATAGTTCACCTGCCACTGGGGCAAGATGAGGAACCTAACCTGCTCTCCCCTAACACACATGGTTAATCCAGCTGGCCCCCAAGGTGCACTATGGAACCCACTTCCTGGATTTTTTTATGCTGTTTTTTAAAACACACATCTAGACTTTAAGAAGCATTTACTGATGCCAAAGCTTGGAAAAACCATAAGGGCATCAACGCTGGAAGCGAAATCACAGGAACATAGGACGCTGCCTTATCCCGTCAGATCATTGGTCCTTCTAGCTCAATATGGTGCACACTAATTGGCAGTGGATCTCCAGGTTTTCAAACAGAGATCCTTCCTGGCCCTAGCTGGAGATGCAAGAGGTTAAACTGGGACCTTCTGCAAGCAAAGCATGTGCTTTATCACTGAGGCAAATCTAATCGAAGGGTGTTGATCTGTACACTAGCCCATACAAATAACAACTGTGGTCATAAGAATGATAAGCATCCTGTTACTGGCTGCAAGCTAAAATTTGACAGGAAGGGAAGGAATGAAGAGCTGCCCTGTCCCAAAGCAGGCTCTTGTTTTCAAGAAAGAGGAGTGTTGGAAACTCATAGCCAGAAGGAGCTGGCTTATGGGAAGGGAGAAGGGTCCACCTGTCAGTGGTGTTAGGGAATTGGGGGGGGGGGAGGTTTTTGCCCCCTTGCAGTGCCATCCCAACTGCAGGGCTTTGCTTTCCCCTGCAGGAATGAGGCCTTTAAAAAAGCGCTTAACTGTGCAAGCTTTGTGCACGTGCCCCATCAGTTGCATTTAAGGATATGAGTAAAATCAGTCAACTCACAAGCTTCCTGGTCCAGTGTAGCTGAGTCAGCTTTATATGCACACCCAGTCATACTGAGTCCATGCCAGCCCATTGACATGTGCTCCAGGACAGAAGTACCTAGTGGCCTGGTAGGTGCATCCAGAATATAAGAACATCAAGAGTATCCCTGCTAGATCTAGACCAAAAGCCTTTCTAGTCCAGCATCCCATCTCCTATCATGGCCAGATGTCTGTTGGAAGCCCCCAGGCAGGAGAGCAGGGCAATCAGCCTCTTCCGCTACTCTGTGGATTGGTATTCTAAGGCAAGCTCCCTCTGTTCCTGGAAGGGATATTGCCATCATGACTATTAGCCCTTGATAGCCTTATCTTGCATAAAATATGTAAATGGGCCAGTTCATGTGAAGGTGCATGTGCAGAAAGTTTACGTGGGTAAGGGCCTTCCTTGTGTCTTCTCCTTGAAAATCAGACTTAAACCAGAGTCCTTGTTGTTGGGAATAACCCAGACAGAAATTCCCAGGTGCCAGACAAGTTTACTTATGTATGCAACCACAGTGGCCCGCATTCTGTTGGCCCCAAAACGGAAAGTGAGTGAGGAAAGTGAGTGAGTAAAGAGGATTGGCAACTTAAGATGTTAGAATATGCAGAACTTGCAGGTACGACACACAGATTAAGAGAGCAAGAAGAACATATATTTAAAGAAACTATTTATTGAATATATAGAAAATAATTGTACATCTGAAAACACTGACAGCATTAAGATAAATTCAACAGAGTAAACAATATTTGATTGATGTGAAAGTGGAAAATTGATTTGAATGGTTATAGTAAAATATGCAGGAAAGTATGGTATGTAATATGAACCATGGAAGGAGAAGAAGGGAACTCAGTGGATATTTTAAAGCAGGCATCCCCAACCTGTGGCCCTCCAAATGTTTTGGCCTACAATTCCCATGATCCCTAGCTAACAGGACCAGTGGTCAGGGATGATGGGAATTGTAGTCCAAAACATCTGGAGAGCCGAAGGTTGGGGATGCCTGTTAAAGTTTGTAATTCCAGTGGCTAAAGTGAGAAGTCAGGTTTCCTCCTCCTGAGCTCCCTCTCATGGCACGTTGTGGCCAATCCCAATTGTGATTTGGAAAATTATTCATTATTAGAGAAAATAAAGAGTATCAAAAAACTGGCTGCTGGGAATGACTAGCTGTAAGGATAAAGATGAGGATGTTCTTCCACTCCTCTGCCAGCGCCTGTATTTCATTTGTTGCTTATGGTGCATCTGGTTTCCCCTACTTAGCATCATGTGCCAATCTGAAAACCCACCCACCCCGCAAGAGTATTGTGGGCAGAGGACCTCACTGGTGCTGCTACACAACAGTACAGTATTGCAAAATGAGCTCCGCCCCCCCTTCCTAAAATGAAACTGCATTCATTTCTGATTGGCGTGATTTCATTTGACAGAGGTTTTTGAGAAAAGGAGAGCGGAATGACAGCAAGTTGCAAAAGATCACTCAGAGCCTCCCTTTGTTGCCAGGGAGTGGTGTGGCGCCTCGTACTGTGTTCTCCTCCTTTGGGCTCTTGCAAGGATTACTGACCCGTCTTCATCTTTTTGTACCTTTTTAGATGTTTATTTATATCTTTCTAATCTCCTTTCTGAGTGTAGCGGTAATCTTCATTAACCAACCAGCCTGCCTTGCTTCCTTTCCAAAGTAGCCAGCTGCTCTGAACAGACCTGGGGTTTTTGTTTTTTGTTTGAACTGCTTGGTTTCACTTCTGCCCCCACTCCCCATCTCCTTCCTCCCGAGCCCCTGGTTAGCACAAGGCAGTTCTTGTTGCATCTCACAGCCACGATTGTCGGAACCACCCTCCCCTGATTGTTTTGTTCTTACCCAACTTGTTTTTCAACAGAGAATCCAGGCCAGAACCTGAACAGGCTATTTCAGGAAGTACCGAAACGAAGAAATGGGTCGGAAGGTACGTCACAGGCAGGTGTTTCTCTTCGCGGTCAATCTCTGGGAAGTGAAGTGTGCTTAGCTGTGTCTCGTCTTTGTTGTTGTTGCTCAAAACGCAAAGGGTGCAGTTTGATTCTGGCCTGGAATCTGAAAGAAAAACAGACGGTGGACCCATGCAGACACAACACTGGCTCCCTGGAAACCATGGTTTGCAGATTCAGGGCCAGCCTTCAAAATGCTCCTTCCTCTCTCTGGAACAGTTCTCCCCACTTCCTTTCCCACCATTAACATGATTTTGTGTTGCATGTGGACCAAACCATGATGGAGCTTAATTTTAAAAAATACACTCACAATCAGATCTTGATGGCAGAGTTTGGAATGGATCTGCAAGTCCTCATTATAGGGACAAACCTGGTTAGCATCGTGTCAGTGTACATGAAACATGGTATCATGTTAACATGGAAGAAAGGAATTCCTAACCTAAATTAAGGTGGGGGGAGAGAGAGCGAGAGAGAGAAATGTGCATTCCTGAGGTTGACTCCTGATTTGTGAACCATGGTTTTCAGGTAGCCAGTGTTTCATCTGCATTGGGGCAGTAAGTATAAAACAAACCATGGGTTAGCATCAAGAGCACTTGCTTCTCCCCCGCTTCCCTCTAATTCTACTGCTGTACTAACTTGTCTCCTTCAAATAGAACTCCTACCTCACAACAGAGCTAAACCTTATTATCATTTATGTTGATCTTATTGGTATTGGTATCTTGTCCTTTCTCCAAGGTTGGCAGCCATGGGAATTCCATTTTATCCCCACAAGGCTGGGAGTGAGTGACTGGGCCAAGGTTGCCCAATGAATTTCATGTCTGAGCAGGGATTTAAACCCTGATTTAATACCACTCTGGCTTTTATAGCCACTAAAGCGATTGATTACTTTGGGGTTACTGGACACCCAGTTGTCAATCATAAGCAATACTGGTGTGAAAGGTATGTGTGTGTGTGTAAACTGATCCCTCTAGGAAACATGTGTGATCCAAGCCATGTTCCCTTCTGCTCTGGTCTTGAACAGATGACAAGGGTGCTGCATGCTGTCGTCAAATGCGTAGATCTACAGAGTGTGTCACAAAGCTGGGAAAAAAATGAGAGTTTGGTAGAGGACAAGGGATTGCTGTACCAACTATGGAGGGATTGAGAGGTTGTGAAGCCTTGTCTTCTGCTGCAAGCTGAGTCATCGATAGGAAATGCAGTGCTCAGGTGCTGCCAGAAATATTGGGCATGGGACACTGCGAGCCGCTTTAGTAAGACACAGAAACGGCACCGTGCAGCTCTGAGCCATACCCACTTCCTTGCTTGAAACCCCATTTGGGTTTCAAGCGTTCTCCAAGTCAAGAACTAGCAAAAGGTTAATATGGAAGATTGGTGTGGGGGTGAGCTTGGGCCCAGGAAGTTCTGGATTCAAATCACCCCTCAGCTGCAAACTCCCTCATGTTGCCTTAAGCAAGTTGTTTTTATTTATTTTTATTATTAATAATAATAATAATAATAATAATAATGCTAAAGGTGACTTCCAAAGCAGTATCAAATGCCGAATACTGCTAGATTGATGCATTTCTTTTCTAGGTGTCTGTTTTTAAAGAAATTGAATTGAGACTTCTGTCGTAAGAACACTCGCATCATGAGTCCAATGGTGCTTACTTCTGAGCAAGCCTCTATAAGATTGAGGTGTAAAGCCTGTTTTAGAGAGCGGCAGATAGAGCTGGAACCAAATAAAAGCCAGCATTGTTGGTCAAAAGGCAATTCAAAGGATACTGACTTTGATGGGCTGCCTCCTGAGTCTTGGGCTTTTTCCAGTGTGCCACCTACCCACTTTCTCTCACCCAAAGCTCTCTGAAATAAGGGCCTCTGTGTCTCTCAGCCTCCGCTGTAGAAAACACCTTCTCCCATAGGACCCTGAGTATTAAGATCAGCTGCAGAGGACCTACTCTCTGGCCCCGTCTTTGCTGTAATGTAGATGAGCAAATGTGATAGGCTGAAGTTGTTGTGGATTTTGTATTTGACCTGTTCTATTATGGCTTAATTTTATCAGTTGCCTTGGAAGGGCTAAAAAGGAATTGGTATACAATAGCTAAATAGGGACACGGGTGGCGCTGTGGGTAAAAGCCTCAGCGCCTAGGGCTTGCCGATCGAAAGGTCGGCGGTTCAAATCCCCGTGGCGGGGTGCGCTCCCGTTGCTCGGTCCCAGCGCCTGCCAACCTAGCAGTTCGAAAGCACCCCCCCGGGTGCAAGTAGATAAATAGGGACCGCTTACTAGCGGGAAGGTAAACGGCGTTTCCGTGTGCTGCACTGGCTCGCCAGATGCAGCTTTGTCACGCTGGCCACGTGACCCGGAAGTGTCTCCGGACAGCGCTGGCCCCCGGCCTCTAGAGTGAGATGGGCGCACAACCCTAGAGTCTGTCAAGACTGGCCCGTACGGGCAGGGGTACCTAGCTAAATAGAGAATATAAATAGGCATTGCCTTTTTAGCAGTGGCACCATGAGTGTAGGCTGCCCTCCCTGGAGAGATTTGATGCGTCCCTTACCTTTCTGTTTGCAGATGAGAAATTAAACCTTTTTAATGTTTTAATGATCATCTGCTTTTAAGCTTTCCCGTTAAGCAGCATGGTACTTTTCATGCTGCTATATGTACCATTTTTGTATTCTCGCTAACTTTTCTGGCGTTAGTTTTCCACTTTACCTCTGAATGCCTTATTTTTAATGGAAACTACAAAGAGTCTTGTGGCATCTTACATATGAACATACTTAATTTTTGTGTGTGCCACCTCTCCACATTTCAAGCCATGCTCAAGGCAGCTTACGAGATGAAAAGAATACATAACTACAACATAACAAAAGTAGTCGTAAACAATAAATAAAACATTAAAAATACACAACCAAACTGAACAATTTCTGCCTAAATCACAACACGATCTAAAATATAGATACAGCAACTACCCCACCCCCCAAAATCCCAAACAGAATGCTAACCCCAAAAAATCTGTTCAGCAGTTCAACTTTTGTAGCTGGAGTCAGTCAGGGTCCTGCCCTCCCAGGCCATCTGGAAAGGGCTTGCAAGGCAGGGAGTAGGTCCTGCAGGACTCACAGCCAAGAGGCTAATAAATTTATTACAGCACAAGCTTTTGTGGACTTCGTGGTGTGTAATGGATCTGGTGAAGCCCGTGAAAGTTTATTCCGTAATAAATTTGTTGGCCTAGGCTCTTTGCTGTTTGTGTTGCAGAAGATGACTCCTTTGGAAGTTATTTTTACAAGCCACTTCAGGTGTATTTTACAGAAAAGTGGACTAGAAAAATAACATTATTAGGAGAATAATACTGCTGTGGCCAGCTTTAGAGGGTAGTATGTCTAAGGATTATTGAGATGAAGTATATGATGCCCTTTGAACGGTAAAGAAAATATACACATACACACACATATATCTCAGTAATAGTAATCTGAGGCATCTAGACATTTTATGCTTGTTGATTTTTCTCTTGGGAGGGTGGGAAGTCAGCTTTTAAATTTTTATTGAATTTGGTGACAATTTTTTTAAAAATATGGAAAATCAATAAAAATAATGGGCAAAAAAGTTTATTTTTCTCCACAGGCTTACACTTTAAAGTTCATATGTTGTTGATTTATTTCATATGTTTATATACCGCCTTTCTCCGATTCAAGGCGGCTTACGGCATTTAAAAACATCATTATAAAATACAAAGGATTATTCTGTGATTCTGAGTCCTTGAATAGGGCTTCTGTGTATTTCACAAAGCAGAGAACATGTGCAGTGCTTAAAGGTGCCTGTCATATTATTTACGTAAGCCAAGCCATCAGTGGTGGCTGGTCTCATTGGGACTGAGAGGGCAGAAGGCAGGGAGCCCACCAGTAGGTGGCGCTAGAGTCAATGACAGGCCGAGCCAACTACAGGGGAACCTTGGGTTGCGGATGTAGTATGTGACAGAGGCACATCCGCAACCCGCAGCGTTCGTAACCTGCAGCGCTGCGTCTGACGCAGCGTGACGCAATTTAGCGCTTCTGCACATGCACGAGCAGCGAAACCCAGAAGTAACCCTTTCCAGTACTTCCAGGTTTCCCGCGATCCGCAACCTGAAGACACGTAACCTGAAGCGTTTGTAACCTGAGGTACCACTGTAATTCTAGTTTTGCCCCCATCTACCTCCTCCCTGCTGAATTCTACAAGGGCAACCCAGGAGGAAGCTGACAGGCAGGGTCACCCCTTGGACTGGTTGTAAGTCAGGACATAGTGAGGGTCTAGCTAAGGACAGGCTGAGCGTGGTGGGGCAGTGCCGCACTTACCCCACTCCCCACTGCAAGCCATGCCACGCATTTGTTCCTGATCCTAAATTCTGTGACCCTGAGAAGACCCCATTCATAGTCCTCCTAGGCTAGGGGAACTCTTCCCATTTCAGCTCACATTATTACTTTCGCACTGCTTACCTATGAGTTTATAAGACTGGTGTACAAAATAGAAAATGGATTGTAGCATAACAGAGAATAAAAACTGAATTGGTGTGAATCAGCTACTGGGGTGCAAGCAGAGGCGTCTCTTCCATGAGGCAAGAGATGGGCAACTGATGGGTGCCGTCAAGAGCAGCAGGAAAAAAAGACTGCATAGAACTGGCCCTGATGGGATTCACTTGCATCTCCCATTCATTTTAATAAGCCTATTGTGGGAGAACTTTATGGTTCTCTGTATCATGGGGGGGGGGGGAGATGAATGCCAGTTGGATTTTTCCACCATGGATGCCAAAATACCTTGGGGTAACATAAGTTGCTGCCACTTACCACCCAAACTCTAGTAACAGTCCCTAGTGCCCTGGAGACATAAGGGACAGGAGCCTAAAGTATTCTGCCTTAGGCACCCTTCTCATATCCACGTACAGCTTAAGTGCAGGAAGCATGTTCCTGTATCACCGAAAAGGAATACCATGGTACGTTTTTTAATCAAGGGTGATGGCACAAAACAGCTTTCAAAATTTTAGGATTTTTCTGCCTCTAGTTTTCTAAAAAGAGAGAATTCATGCTTAAGGAAAAATTAGAATGATATTTTGTCATAATGCCAACTTGGAGAGTGACCAAGATATTTCAAGTGCTCCCTCCCCCTCCTTATGTCCGTTTCCTATTCCAGCCTGCAATACTGTGCTATATTCAGAACAATATTTTGCTTTTGAAATCTAGCAGATTTTTCTTTTCTTTTTTTCAAGAAATGTGAGAAAGAACATGCCAATTTGTGCTTTTTAATAACTCTTTGCATTGCTGGTGGGTTGAAAAGAACCACATGTTTTTAAATAGGTCACAGAAATATTGTTATAAATCCTTGTTGCAAGATTACAGTGCTAGAAAACTTTGCCAAATTATCTCGAGATTCAGAGGAGTTTGAGAGGGCGAAGCACAATGGTGAGACACATGCTTCACGTGCAGAAAGTTTCAGAATCATTCCTTGGCACCATAAGTTAAGAGGATCTCAGGTGGGAGGTGATAGGGAAGCCTTTTTCCCACCAGATATAGGAGACAGTGCCTGACTAGATAGCACGGATCAGTATACAGTGGTGCCTCGCAAGACGAAATTAATTCGTTCCGCGAGTTTTTTCGTCTTGCGATTTTTTTCGTCTTGCGAAGCACGGTTTCGGAAAAGTTTTGGAAAAGCTTCAAAAATCACCAAAGTCTTCAAAAACCTCAAAAAAGGCTACCACACTGTGTGCTATGAGTTGCTCCTCGAAGTCAAGTCGCAACTGTATTAACGGTTTTAAGAAAAAGGAAACAAACTTGCAAGACGTTTCCGTCTTGCGAAGCAAGCCCATAGGGAAAATCGTCTTGCGAAGCAGCTCAAAAAAACAAAAAACCCTTTCGTCTTGCGAGTTTTCCGTCTTGTGAGGCATTCGTCTTGCGAGGTACCACTGTATTTCTTAGATGTGCACCCTACCTCTTGACCAGAGTCCCTAAAGCGGCTCACAACACACCCATACATTACATTGTACCATTTTTTAAAACCCAGATTGCGCAGGGAAAAGATAGAATTCAAGGGAAGAGCGAAGACAATATTAAAAAGCAGAATTGTAAAATTCTCAACTGGGGGCGGAGGGTGGCAGTTTGAACCTGCAAAGAAAATACTGCATTTTGCATATGCATAGGAGTACCAGATGTGACTGCAGCTCCTGGTTTTATTTATTATGTTCCTCTACTTCTCTCAAAGTGCTTCGCTGACAACAGATTTTGAATGGAAATGCTGATCCCAAAAAAGCTGCTTAACAGCTGATCATTTCCCCCTTTCTTCCAGGTAACATCACCACAAGAATCCGAGCCACAGAGGCAGGCTCTGATGAAGCTATCAAATCCATCCTAGAGCAAGCAAAAAGGGAGCTGCAGGTACAGAAAACAGGTAGGAGCTTCCGGTTGGAGTGACCCTGAACCTCAGGATACCCTGGAAACTATTGGCAAGAGACTTAAGAGTGTGCAAAAAACTTTAACCTGCCTGTTGTGTGCCACTAAAGGGTTAAGAAAAAACGTTGCAGCGTCAGGGACTTTTTAGTTTAGAGCAAAGGTGAGTAAGGGATGACTTGATGGAAGCGTCTAAAACTGAATGGCATGCAAAAAGTGGATAGAGAAAGGTTTTTCTCCCTCTCTCATAATGAAGTGGAATGTTGGAAGTTTCAGGAAACTTCAACAGTTAAACTGGTTTGTGTGCGGGTTTAGTTATGCCCAGAAAGTTAATTGAAATATAATAATGAAATATATTTTTCATATTCCCACATTAATCTTCAGTGGGTTTTATTCTGCATTCTTCTCCGTTTGGTCACAGAGAAAATGTGTGTGTGAGAGAGAGGGCGATTACTACATCTCATGGAAAGCAGAATGCAGAGATGAGTGTTTGAAGAAGCCTAGGAACACAGTGGTTTCATTCAAACATCACACTACGACTTAGCACAAATTTGCAGGCTCCTGGAGATGAGTTGGTGTCTGCTTTGCTCTTCCCCAGTCATTCTGTTGCACTGATCTAAAGCCATGGTTTGGCATAATGTCATCCAAACCTGGGCTCATGGTTTAGACTCTCTAGACTTCCCATGAGCTGTAACCAAGGTTTAGGGCTTGTGGCTTGTCTAGAAGAGCTAAACCATGAGCCCAAGTTCAGATAAGATGCTTAAGCCAAACACAGCTTGGCTCAGTGCAACAAAGCAGTAGAACAATTAGGGAGGAGGGAAGCAAACTCCTTTCTGCGAGTCCACACTCGTGGCGAAGCCGTAATTTTGCATGGTGTGACATGCAAACTAGGCCAATGAAGTGAAGCAGGACAGAAAATATCCAAGGCATGGGTGCAGTGGGTAGGAGAGATGCAGAGGAAAAAGCAAACCTCAACTCCATTGCAGGGGCAGGTTGCTGAGTGCTCTGTCTTCTTGGTCACAAATTATCACAGCTTTGCTGTCTTCATGGTCCCCTCAAGTGTGTGCCGCACTATATGAGCGGCCCAGTAGTTCAGAATGAGAACCATGTCCTATTCTTTTGATATTGCGTGTGATGTTGGTGACATCACAATCGGTGTCCAGGCGCAAGTCTGATGTCTGTACGACAATAGCAATAGCAAATTGTTTGAAAGTCAAGGAATGTGTTGCTCTTTATTCTCTAATATAGAGAACTGGAATGATTAAAACATTGATAAGTAAGATGTTCATATAATCATAGACAACAGAGTGTTGAAAAGTCAAGGACTATTGACCATTCACCAGTAATTCTTGGTATTTTGTGGGGCATGAAAAAGCTAAGGGAAATCTCATGCATACTGGTAGACCTCAGGGTTCCAATCAAGTAATTTTGGGAACGAGCCACCTCTCTCCTTTATTTCCATCAGTTTCTAGTAAAGGACTTGTGCAGAGGTTGGCTTGCAAATTTCAGAAACAACCCTTCTGAGACAAACATTGGAGATTAACCAGTAAATGACTTTTTCTCTGGGCCTGCCTCTCTGGTTTGCACCACGGGGTGGGGCAGCAAGACTTTGATTCCAATGTGTTGGCAAAATCAGTTACGTGGGCCACAACATCTCACCATGCCTTCTTTGTTTATCCCCATAGCTGAGCCGGCTCAGCCACCTTCCACCTCGAGCACTGGTGGATCCGACGATGCCATCCGCTCCATTCTGCAGCAAGCCCGGCGAGAGATGGAAGCACAGCAGGCCGCCCTCGAACCTGCCTTAAAAGCAACCCCTCTGTCCCAAGCTGAGATCTCCATCTTGTCCCCAAAACTTGTCCCCACGCCCGCCATTTCTTCGGTCGCCAGTTATTCCCCCCTGGCCATGTCCTTGAAGAAGCACTCGTCGTCTGTGGATTCCAGCATCTCCTCTCTGCAGACTCTCTCTGGTCTGAAGAAGGAGGCCCAAGAGGCCCCCATCCTGGACCTCCACGGGATGTCTGATTCAACGCAAGGGGTGCTGAGGCACGTTAAAAATGAACTGGGGCGCAGCGGGGTGTGGAAGGACCACTGGTGGAACACTGTGCAGCCTGACAGAAGGAATGCCGCCCCTCCAGATGACCCCAAAGTGGAGGAAACCACCAGCGGGAAAGAGAAGGCCAGCAGCCAATCTCGGTCGGACCGTAACCAGCAGCTTCAAGGGCCTTCCTCTTCGGACTACTGGAAAGAGTGGCCCAACGCGGAGTCACCCTATTCCCAGAGCTCTGAACTGAGTGTGACAGGGGCGAGCCGCAGTGAGACGCCGCAGAACAGCCCCCTCCCTTCCTCCCCCATTGTCTCTTTAGCAAAGCCATCTAAACCTTCCGTTCCTCCATTGACCCCCGAGCAGTATGAGATTTATATGTACCAGGAAGTGGATACAATAGAGCTAACCCGTCAGGTCAAAGAGAAGCTAGCGAAGAACGGCATCTGCCAAAGGATATTTGGGGAAAAGGTAAGCGCTTAGCTGGAGCTAGTTTGTTGGTTTGTGTGCCTTGTGATGGTGGCTTTATGACCGTCTGGGACGTTATCTGTAGAAGGGGAGAATGGCAAATTTATCTAATTTATTAATTTGCATATTTCATTCATTCTCTTGCAAGAACCTGTATTTTTCAAAGAATTGGGCTTTGAAGGAAAACCAGAAAGAGGGAGACTCTCCACCAACAGGCTTATTGGGAGTAAGAGCCACAGAATGGTGGAGGTGGAGGTGGTAGAGGAATGATGCCAAACATCTATCCCCTGCTTGCTGAGTAGCAGAAAACTGCTCAGGGTCTTCCAGCACAAGGGTGTTGTGTGAGTCTCCCGGGTCTTCTTCTTTGGCGATCACTCGTAGCCGAGTAAGATTGTCTTCCATCAACACAGTTTTAACAATGAGTCCGTAAGTGACTGTGGAGACCAGTTCTGGATCCACACGTCCTTCCACAGTGGGGACATTGGTTTCTGGGTAGGAGTTGATCACAGTGTGGATTTGCCAAGTGTGCCTTCCTCTTAGCACATTTCTCCCTTTTGTCCTGATTTTGAGTGTCTTCAAAGCCCAGGACACTTTGTATATGTTGGATAGCACATGGACCATGGGCTGTAAACACCCAGCTGCTTTTTTGACTTATCTTCCTTCCATGTAGTCCCTTTGCTTCAATGCTCCCCCCTTGCCAGCTGGGAAGGGCAAAGATAAGTAGAGATTCAGCTGAAGGCATTCATAACAATAAGAATGGTTAAAAGTGTTGTTGTGGCACCCTGCACTCTTCCTGCCAGCAGGTGGAAGAAGGCAGAGTGTGGCACCACCTCTCCTCTAGCAGGTGTCTCTCTTGAGTAATAAGAGCTGGATGTGGCCTGCAGGCCACCCCCTGATCTTCCCAGTTCCAATCCAGGGCACTGTTAATCCCATGTCCTCTGTGGTTGCTTCCCTCCAGGTGCTGGGCCTCTCCCAGGGCAGCGTCAGTGACATGCTGTCCCGGCCAAAGCCATGGAGCAAGTTGACGCAGAAAGGCCGCGAGCCATTCATCCGCATGCAGCTCTGGCTAAACGGTGAACTGGGGCAGGGAGTCTTGCCTTCCCAAGGGCAGCCCCAAGGCCAGGGTAAGTAGACAGTTGGACTGTTTTGGTGTGTTTTTTTAATGCCATACACAGGCTCGGCTTTCACAGTGTTTCCTTTGGTTTTGTACCCTTCCATTTAGACTGTAGTGCGAAATCTTTTTCAGCTGGAGGGCTGCATTCCTTTCTAGAGAATGTTTCAAGGTGGGAGGGGGCGAGCACGTGCAGGTTGGGACCAAAGTCACAAACACAACCCATTCACACTCAAACATCTCTCTCTCTCTCTCTTACACACACACACACACACACACACACACATGCATAAAGCATCAGTGGTTGTTGTCTTTACCCTTCAGAGAATAGGTAACTGGGTGCCTCCAGAGCTGCCACTCACTGGTGTTGAGAAGGCAGCTGCTGTTTTGGTGTGTTTTCCGGCTCCTGGGCAGTGTCTGAAAGGGGAAATGCCCTGCAGTAGGGGGGAAAATGCAGCCTGATGTGTGTGCAACACTGAGGCCAGGACCACAAACGCCCTTTCAGCAGAATCACCCCCTCCCTTACTGGTTTTGCATAAGATGACAGAGTGGACTGCAGCTGCCATCTTTCCCTTATCTTTGGGCCTGATAAGCTCCCCAGTGGGTGAGTGGGTGCCCTACCTTTGGAAACCACATTAAGGCAAGAGGCATCCCACCAAAAAAAACCCCATAAGTTGGGCTTCCCTAAGGAAGAGCTAAGCAATTCCAGGAAAAGGTAAAGCTGCACTCTCTTTCAATGCACTCATGCCTGCAACCTGTATGCCTCCGTAAATGTGCTGGACAGAGGGTACCTGCATCCCTTGGTGGTGTTTCTCAATGCTGTGGCTTCAGGAACTCAAGTTGCATCTGTTTTTCCGCCTCCCTTTCCTTCAGCATCCTTGCCTCAAGACGGAGGGCGCAAGTTAGCCTTGCAAAGTGGTCCACTTAACTGTGGAATTATGTGGGAGGCTTGAGCTATTCCTTTCTTTGCTTAGAGTCCTTCCTTTTACAGTTAAAGGGCATCGGGGACTAGAAGTGCGTTGGTCCACCCATCCTCCACCATCCTATTCAGAACGATTCCACATGAATCCGATTAACTTGGAGGACATTTGCCAAGTGTTGGAAAGTAATTTGAATTTAATTTGGATCCATTCTGAATCAGCAAAGCCACTAATACTCCTCCTGACCCCCTGACCCCAGACATCTCTAAGAGTCTGATGGGGCTATCATACAGCCTGCACTTTCCCTACCCTTGACTTACAAAAATGGGGGTGGGGGGCTAGACGTAGCTGCTTTAATAGGGCCAGGAATATTTGCAGCAACACATGGAAGCATGGAAACTGCATGCTGTGTGGTTCTCTAGTGTCCTCTGGCATAAGGCAGCTTCCTGGGGCTTATCACAGTGCTTCCCAGGAGCTCTCTCAGTCATCCCACCAGCCTTGGGAAGTTTGCATATAAAACCATCTACTTCAGATCAGCCCAAACTCTGGAGGGCTCTTGGATCCTATTTCAAATGGATCTAGAATGCAGATGCAAGAAATCCAATACCTAGCGCCTCAATTTTAAGATTCCACCCCATCAGCAAGCAGACTCAGTGCCTAAACTAATTAAGGTAATTTTCAGGCTTTGCTTCTATGCAGAGAGAATATTAAATGCCTTTCAAGGGAGAAATTTTAACAAAACTGGTGCATTTGGGCAGGATTTCATTGGATAGTTTTTATTTGTGGTCGAAAGCACCAAGTGGGTGTGGAAGAAAAGCACAATTTCATTAGGATGAGACTTTAAAGGGCTTGGCAATGGCCTGCTAGAGAAGGCATTCCTAAATTATCTGAAAGAAACTTAAATATGATGCAGAGACTGTTGACCATCACAAGGGAAGGTCCCGTGGTTTCTGGCATTTGCATATTGGGTGAACAGCTGAAATCATGGAGGCTGTTGACAAAGGGCTACTTGATAGCTGTCCAGTTAATCTCTGGATTTTTCACACTTACTAGATTTTACAGAATTGTCCACTTCCTCTTGTGATTGTCAACACTGCATTTGGACACTTCTTGTAATATAAATGTTGAACCACACAAGCAGAAGTAAAACTGGCTGCTTATGAGGCACTTAACTGTGTGGAACCAACCTCAATTGAGCAGCAGGAATCCCTTATTTGCCTCTTCTGTATTCATGGTAGGGGTGAGCGAGAAAGCCCTTCTTGTTCCATCAACCAGGCTTGCCTTGCGCACCCTGGAGCATCCATGCACAGGTATCACATTTTAATAGGGTGCATACCTAAATCACACAGTCTATTCCTCAGTCAGTCATGGGTGCGGAAATGAATCAATCACACCATTTGGGCCTATAGGCATTGGATTTTACGTATGTTGTGCCCTTTGCAAATGTAGTATTTGGGAGTGTTGCTCCATAGGCAAGTTCTTGCTCCTCTGCCATATGTAGAGAGCAGATAACTGTGGGTATCCTCTGTACCTGCCCTAGAGTCTCCTCCAAACCATCCCCTGGATCAGAGATGGGGAGCCTGTGGCTCTCTAGATACTGCTTACTACAAAATCTCAACATCCCAGACTGCTGGTTATGTTGGCTGGGGCTGAGGGGAGCCAACAACATCTGGAGAGTTGCAGGTTCTCAACACCTGATCTAGGTTTAAAGCAGGGATGTCTGACCCCAGACCCTCCAGAAGTTCCTGGAGTCCAGCTTCACCCCCAGGCAGCATGGCCAGTGATCAGGAATGATGGGAGTTGTAGTTCAGCAGCAGGTTCCACTTTCCTGGTATAAAGGAATGGGAATTGAGCTGGTTTGATATTGTGCTGCTTTTCTCTGTTAGTCCTGGGCCATTTAATGACCCTCATTTTGCTGGCAAGTTGTAGGCTATGTTCCTCTCCTATCTCTTCCTGATAGTCCTCCTTTTCTTTCTCCAGTTCTTCACTCTGTGTCATCACTGCAAGATTCCCTTCAGCAGGGATGCGCAAGCTCAGGTAATCAGCTGCTTTCTTACAAAATCTTTTGCTTGGTTGCGTTGTGTTTTGGCTTCTGCATGGGGCGTGGGGGAGCAACCTTTGTTCCATTCTCTTCTGTTGTGTTGGAGTTGCACCTTCCATTTCCTGGATTATTTACCCTGCAAAAAGTTAAAAGGTTTAATTCCTCATTTCCCCCCAGTTACTCTGTCTTTGGTTTTTGTTTTGTTTTTACTTGTTAAAGTGCATAGCCTGCGTTATGATTCAGGAATTGCATTATGTTTAAAACCCACAGTGCAGCAACTAAAATCTAACTAATTGAGCAGCATCAGACAAATGACAAACACAGCTTAACACACACACACACACACACACACACACATGCACACCCCACTTTTAGTGAGATGCCTAGAGGTCAAAAAGGAGGGAGACAAACCTTTCTAAGAAGGGAGTTTCAAAGCTTGGGTGCCACCATCGAGAATGCCTCGTCCCAAGTAATCTTCTACTGAGTTTCTGGAATTAATAGCTCCATGTGTGTTGTCCTTGGGGTGGCAGAGGTGTTCAGTGGATTGTGTTCATTCTGCTAGGGGTGGGGTGGGGGAATTCCTTGGTTTTGTACTAGATGACAATTCAAATTAGAAAGAGAGTCCTATGACTCACATTAAGTGCTACAGGATCATAGCAGTTGAGGGTGATGGATAAGCCAAGACGTTTCTTGTTCAGATTTTGCCTCTGCAATGAACTTCATAGGTAGCCTTTGTTAAACTACTCTCTCTCCCATTGGCTGTCTCTGTCCCTCCTCTATGTGAAGTATAGGGGTAGTTTGCCTTAATGGTCACTATCAGTGGTCTTTGCCTGCCACTTCTGGTGGCCTGTGACCAGGGGCGGAGGAAGGGGGGTGCAGTGGAGACGGGCCGCCCTGGGTGTCACCACTGGGAGTGGGTGGGTGACAAAATGCCAGGCGGCACTCACCGCGGGGCCTGCAGCGCACCTGAGCCACACGTCTCTCCTGGGAGTGACGTGGTGGCTTGGGTGCCTGCAGGCTCCAGCACTGCCCCAAAAGGTCCACCCGCTGCCTCCCCCCAGCTGTAGGGCAGCTGAGTGGGAGAAGGCATGCAGTCTCCTTGGAGGCCCCACGAAGCATCCTGCCCCGGCACACCCCACCCCATGGGCAACTGGGCTCAGGGCACGCGCGCAGCCCCAGGCGCCCAATTGGCTTGCTCCGCCGCTGCCTGCGACACCCCAGTATCAACCACCATGTTTTATTAGAAAACTGTGCACTTGTGAATTCTGTTTTAAGGCAACTTCACGGTACAGACTCTTCCCTGGAGTGGATCCACAGAAAGGTGTGCTAGAAGTGACTGGCTAGTCAGTTTGAACAGTGCTGCTTTGTAAGAGAGTTTTTGTACAGTTCATTCACAAGGCATCTTCTTTTCCCATATACTGGTTCTAACTTTATAAAGACTTGAAGACACAAGCAGGAAAGCAGAGCTGAACTCAGTGCGCTCCTCTTCATGGCATGTGTATCACCTTGGGTCTGCCCGTCTCCATTCTAAAATGGAACTCTTAATTTGATGATACAGTCCAGGGTAATCCTGGGGGACTTTCAGATTTCTCGTTTTATTTGTCTTTTCTTTTTTGAGTCCCATTCATCATTCCAGGCTTCATGCTGCTCAGGGAATTGTGGTTGTTATGGGATGCAGTTAAGAGGTGGGGTTTTTTCTAAAGTGAAAATCCTGAGATAATTTGTATTGTGACATGCACAAATCCATTTTGGTGAAACTTCTGGCAGTGATACTTCGTTCTAACATCACAGGGAGGTGTGGCAGGCAAAAGAGCCGCTGGCTACCAGTGGCTGGGCTCTTCAAACCCTGGAAAGGGGAAAGGCAGGGTAAAAAGATGTAGGAACATGAGAAAGCTTGGAACCTTCTTGGACTCCAGTTCCGTCAGCCCCAGCCAGCATGGCCAGTGGTCAGGGATGATGGGAGTTGTAATCCACAGGTTTCCCTGCCTCTGCAGTATGCCAAGGAAGATGTGGAGATTAGGGAAGCATGTTGGGGCTTAGAAGAGGGAGTGATACAGCAGGAGTGGGCAGCAGAATGGAGAGGGGAAGGGAAGCTGGGTGAAGCTCTGGGCAGAGAGAAGAAGGTGCACATGGCCAGGAGCTCAAAAGATGAAAAACCTCATAATTGATTTGAAGTAACCGGTCAAATTATTGACTGCAAGCCTGTAGCTGCTTATATGGCACTTTAAAGCCGCAAATCTTATAAAGAGACACTCTTCTTCCAAAGAAAACATTTCCTTGGGAAACTCTGGTTCTGCATCTGCAAAATGTGAATTGTGGCATCCTATTCTCACTGCCATGCTCTTTGGGGAACAAACGAAGCTGATTAAAACAAAAAAACAAAAAAACCGTTGCATGTGAAAAGTGCAATCTGGAGGATAATTTGAATTGGCATTTGCTCTAAGGCTCCTTAGGAAGGAAGTAAATGTTGAAGCAGAGTTCCTACTTGAAGGCAGCATTTTGGAGAGGGTTTTGTGCAACTTGAGTTAAATGAATTATATGTGTGAGGACATTGAACTAGGTTCCACTTACAGTTTTCCATTAATAATTGGGCTGCCTTGAAACTTAACCTGGCAATTCTAAGATGGGATTATAAGTTCTGGGGACTGGTATAAGGGGTCTGCAAGATTAAATTTTATACCATTCTGCGAGGGGACAGGTTGATTTTGTTACCCATCCCAAAACATTGGGATTGGGTGGAGCATAGATCTGTGGCTGTTTCTAATGATTTATAGCAAAGGTAGGCAGACTTCTCCCTTGTAGGATCTACTTGGTTTTTACTAGAACTCCAAGATTTACCAACCAGAGCCAGGCGTAAAATACATCTAGTTAGAGAGCAGGGTGCCTCTGAACACATTTAGAACTGTAGGTGTTGGTTTACAGTAGCAGAACTCAACTGAGTTCACAGTCCTTTTGCACAGAAGTCTGCTTCTTTTTAGCTTTCTTCATTTCAGCAATGTATCTGAGGTGGAAAAAAGTAAAGAGAGGGTGTTGTTGCTGTTGTTAAACAATTGGGAGTCAGAAACTCTTGCCAATCTGCTGCCAATGACCCAGAGAATTTCCTGTTGGTCCTAATCTACCTTCTGCATGCCCCTGACTTATAGGCACAGTACTCAGAAATCTAGCTGCTTTGCTTCCCGCTCCCTTTACCTTGGGCCTGTCCTTAAAGGTTCTTCCATCTGTTGTTTTTCAGTGCTTAATAGTTTTTGGATGGTCAGCATATAGAGTGGCCCAAAAGTAGGAATATTTTAATTAATAAATACAGTGGTACCTCGGGTTACATACGCTTCAGGCTACATACGCTTCAGGTTACACACTCCACTAAGCCAGAAATAGTGCTTCAGGTTAAGAACTTTGCTTCAGGTTAAAAACAGAAATCGGGCTCCGGCGGCGCGGCTGCAGCAGGAGGCCCCATTAGCTAAAGTGGTGCTTCAGGTTAACAACAGTTTCAGGTTAAGTACGGATCTCCGGAACGAATTAAGTACTTAACCCGAGGTACCACTGTAAATGGATTGCTTTTCTTTACTGATACTATGAATGAGATCTTGAGTCAAGAACAAAGTGGATTCTAAAGCAGTATGCCTACTTTTGGGCCACCCTGCTAATTGTCTTTACTGCTAATTATCTTTACTTAGAGAATGTATACTGCTGTCTTCCTCTCCCACCCCTTAGAGGAGCTGATACGATGGTCAGGTAAATAATAAAGCACACCAGTGGAAGTAGATAAATAGGTACCGCAGCAGCGGGAAGATAAACGGCATTTCCGTGCGCTCTGGTTTCCGTCACAGTGTCCCGTTGCACCAGAAGCAGTTTAGTCATGCTGTCAACATGACCCAGAAAAGCTGTCTGTGGACAAACGCCAGCTCCCTTGGCCTGAAAGCAGATGAGCGCCGCAGCCCCATGGTTGCCTTAGACTGGACTTACCTTTACCTGTGTTGACATCTAAAACTTTAAAAGGCCTGGGGAAATGAAAAGATCTTCCTCAGGTGCAAAAAAGAAATCCAAATCATTACCAGCCAAGTCTCCCTAGAGGAAGTATTCCAGTGTCAAGGCTCCCCAAATGAACTACTAGGTTCCTTTTCCACCACAGCTCCCTTGCCTTCCTCTGCATCTTCTGCCCCTCACCTTCTCCTCCTTCAGCCTCTCTGGGATCTTTCCTATCAGCTCTTTCAAGCTAATGACTTTGGGGCTTCTAAAGAGCACAGAGCTTTGCCATGCAGGAGGGCTTGACATCTGCCCTCTGCTTGCTGGAAGAGCTGCTAGTTTACCATCACACAGCAAGAGGGTCACAGTTGGGGGAACAGCACCAGGCGCTCTGCACTTCCTTGGCAGCTGGTGGAAGCAGCCGAGAATGGCTCCTGACAGCCAGGTGGCATTTCCCGTTGGGTGCCGCTGCAGCTGGCAGGGGGTCGCCTTAGCACTGGGCCGCCGGAGGGAGCCTGCCTTCCTGAAGGAGCTGGAGGGGAAATGGCATTGAGGGCGTGTGAGGTGAAGGGTGCATGTCTGAGCATGAACTCCGGCACTTCCTTGGATGGGGTCCCAGAGCGAAGCATAAACAAACCTAGGTTTAGATCCCTGAAACAAAGAAAATTGTTTCCTTTCTAGGAAAGTGAATGCCTTGCATCTTTTAGTGGTCCTTTCAGAACGGAAACATTAAAATAAAATTTGAAAATAGCCTGGATCAAACCATTGGTCTGTCTAGCCCCAGGCAATCTACTGTGGCTCATCTTTCAGGCATGCAATCTGAGCTATTTTTCCTGGGGTTTGGCTATGTGCTGTGAGTCCTCCTCTGAAGCGCCCATCAGTCCACCTAGCCTGACAGCAGCTGTATAAGGCCTCAGGTAGTGACTGTTCCTTAGACCTCCTAGAACCTGAGATTCTTTAGCTGGAGAATTCAGGGGTGGAATTTGGAAGCTTTTGCATGCAGATCAGTTACTCTGATATGAAGCACTCGGTC